TTTGAGCTGAGTGCTTTTCTGGATTGGAACTGAACAGGGATTACAAATAGTACATTTTTTTGTTTTTGGAATAAGACACAATAATGCGTGAACCCACCAACAGTTGAAGCTGTTCTGTGTGGAGTAATGTGCTAAAAATCCTTCATGCTGGTGTGCAGGACTGATCAACACTTACCAGAAAAGTTTAGTTGCAGTTATTGCTACACAGGGGGCTCACACCAGGTACTGAAAGCAAAGATTCACATACTTTTACTCACAAATATGTAATATTGGATCATTTTTCTCAATAAATTAATAACCAAGTATAATATTTTTGTCTCATTTGTTAAACTGGGTTCTCTTTATCTACTTTTAGGACTTCTGTGAAAATCTGATGATGTTTTAGGTCATTTTTAAGAAGAAATATAGAAAATTATAACGGTTTCACAAACTTTCAAGCACCACTGTATTCAAGTGGGTAGGAGTTATGCTGTGTATGAATAAATGTAATTTTTTTTCTGTTTGTCCCAGGTAGTGCGGAGTGATGGCTCCTGGTGAGTGGATGAATCAATTTTATCCACCACCAGGCACAATGGTGGAGCCAGGGGGTGTTGAGTGGTGGCCCTGAACACCATAGATTAATCTTTAGTCGCCCCCAGTTTGAGGAAACCACTTTTACTTTTAAGCAATAAAAACTAGAAAGTGTGGTTTCCTCAAATGATTGGCGTTGTCAGTTCACAGATATAAATGCCCGTGGCCATCTTGCTTTTTGACTTGGCCAAAGCCTTTTGATAGGGACTCTTCATACACCTAGCCATACAGTAGTCCCATATCATGGAAGTTGGTACTTCATTTATTTTTCAAGTTATCATGCTCACAACAAAAAAGTCACAGAGCAATTAGATCAGAATTTTCAAAATATATTTATTTGGCTGCTTCCTTGTTTTAAAAAAAAAGAAGTCCCAGATAAGACTTTACACAACATTAGAATCTGATTGTGTAATCATAATCAATTTCCTTTCTGTAATCTGAATTAAAAAGCAAATTAAATATTTTCCCTCCCTTGGGGAAATGAAGGTAGTTGACCTGCAACCTGTCTGTCCTGCCAGCAAGGAGGTTCTGAGGTCTGGCTGATAACAGTTATGACAGCAGTCATCTATAAAGACGAGTCAATGTGGGAGCTGAATCAATGCACTGCAGTGCAAGCAGTCTCAAAGGTTATACTGTCCCAGATAAGAGCCTTTCCTCTGACAAAGCCTGTTTCGCATCTTGGTCAGCAGCTTCGAGGAGCTGATACTGTATGCAGAACACTCTTATCTTGTGGGTTAGGGCAAATATGCTGCAATCTCTGCCTTTTACTCCGGCTGTTGCATGGGCTGAACACCTGCCACCACTGGCTTGTCTTAGTAATAATCTTTTTTTAATATAAACAAAGTATTTTCAAACTGCTACAAGATCATTTGACATCTTCTCTTACCACCTTAATATTGTTAATTGTTAGTTGTGTTAATTGTTGTGTGTACCTCATTTGTGGTTTTATTTAAAACAGGTCTCTCTTGTAAATGAGTCGTTGTGACTCAGTGAGACTAACCTGTATAACTAAAGGTTGAATGAATGAATGAATGAATGAATATTAAGCATAAAAACAGCTGTTGCATTTAATAAAATTAAAGTTATGCTTGGAAAAAAAAGGCTGGTTGCCATTTTCTTTGTTTTCTTTTGTATTTGCTAAAGAAAATCCATCATCTCCTTCCATACAGACGTTCCTAAGCGATATGTTGTCACGTTTTTCCACTCGTCTGCAGTATTTTTGCTCATTTGTGTCAGACAGCTGACTGCAGTTGATAACGGTGCTGTGAACGTGGCAGGAGTGGTTCACTCCTCGTTCCAGTCATCGGCTCAGCTGTGACTCCCCTCATGTAAACCATAGACTCAGTCATGTAATCAGGTGATAAACACACACGCTGCGGTGACGAGTGATGAATAACAAGGACAAATTAAAACCAGGACGAGCGGAATATGCTAACATGTGGCTAATAAAGGAGAGACATTACCAAAACAAATCCATAACCTGGTTTTCAAGGAGCGCTTCAATATTCAGTTGTTAATTTTGTCCCTGTAACAGAGCGAAGAGTCTCTTGAACTTGAAAGATAAGTAATGTGCCGACTTCCATGTTGGTGTGTGGCTGCATCTAGTCGTAAGAAATGTCACCATCGAAAAGCAGGCTGACAGGTCAAAATCCAAGATGGCTGCCACCAAATTTAAATGTAAACCAATCACCCCAGTCATTTGAGGAAACAATGGTTTCTGATGTTTATATTGCTTAAAAGTATAGTTTCCATCAATTGATTAGGGTGGCCAAAGATTATTCTATGGTAGTCAAGGGCACCATTGGCCACCCCCTGGCTTCACCATTGCACCTGATGCTCCCTCCACTCACCAGGTTTCGTCACTCTGCTCTGCCTCGGACAAGCAACAAAACCTCCCTCTGTTCTTCTCCACAGTGTAACTCCTACACTTGAATATCTTTCAGCAAAAACATTAAGGTTTCCTTGCATTCTCTGTTCAGTTCCAGTCCAGAAAAACACTCATCTAGAAATCTACAAACGCTCGCCGTTCAAATCCCTCAGCGACGGAGGACATCGGTGTACCGATTGTTTTATTGTTCATTCTGATGATGATTTTTGATCCTCCACTCTTCTCACAGTTTAAAAAAAAAAACATTTAAACCTGTCTCAATCCAGAACATTTGAAGTTGCAATACATTGTAAGGCATGGAGGAAAGTTGCCAAAACTTTTTCCTGTATAACTTTCATGGAGTGAACTGTGTGTTTGGAGCAGCAGGAGCTCATTCTTATCCTTGCAGGAGACTTTAGCCACAGCTGTTGTTTTTAATGAAGACTTTTTTTTTCTTTGAATCAAAATCCTGTCACGGCCCTTTTATTGCATAAGGCTCGCTCGATACGTGTTGCAATCGAACAAACTGGCAGGATAAGGATTGGAGAGTAACACTATTCAGACGCACAGGCATTGATCATACGGGCTCAGCGTTGTGCAAGAAAGGTTACAATGATTAATCTTGTACTTGGTAACCCTGCTGTTACAGTGCAGCTCCCGCCCAGCTGAGCTGGAGAGGGGGACATTTGACCAACAGGCATGCAGACGCTTGTTTCACTGGACCCACAGACACACTGGGGCCTAACAACATGACAATGTTCAAAAAAGACCATCTTACACGTTCCAAAGTTCAGTCGAAAAGTTGAGGAATATACATCGTCTTGTTTAAGGGAAGATTTTGTGAACTTAGAGGCTTAAAATTATATAATGTGATCCACTCTGTTCTTCAGATTACATGAAGCCATGGTGGCAAAGTCCACTGGTGATACGGACAACAAACAACGGGTCAGAACACACAACACTTTGACCTATAAACCCCCACACATGCACACTCGTGACTAATTTCATTAACCTAAAGTGAGATCGTTTGGTTTTGATACTTTCATTGAGTGTCGATGGAAAATCCCACCGTGCACCCATTGTTACGCTTTTCTTGCTTTAGACGAAACGTGTTTTACATTTCAAAGAGCTGATTGCATCAAGTCCGCCCGTTCTGTTTAGACTTTGTTGTTTTTCTTGGCAATATTTTGAAAAGACTAAAAAGGAAAAAATTCAGGGTGGGCGATTTTCTGCTAAACCATCTTAGCTAATAATAAGAAAATAAATCTCTACTTTAAAAAAACCAAAACATCCAGTTGGAGGATTAAAAAATATAATTTCAGTAAAACATAAAGCACTTCTCTGACCTTAACCAGAGAAGTTTCATTTCCTGTGCATGAATGTTTGTTGCTGATCAATTTTTGCTGAAAGCTGCTGAAGAAGCTGAGCCAGGTTGAAAAGGTTTTGGAGCTAAAACTAATGTGAGTGGAATTTGAACAGCTGACATTTGCTGAAAGCAGGAAAATAAAAGCAGAAATGTGTAGAAAAATCAGAAAAGAAGCAGAATACACTGAAATGGGCAGAAAGAGGCTGAAAAGGGTACAAGAAAATCTGAAATGAGCAAAAAACTAAAGAAAACTTAAATGAGCAGGAAAAAAGGAGAAATTAGCAAAAAAGAAAGTGGCTAAAAACACCCTTTTAAAAGCTGAAATTATTGAAAAGAGGCTAAAAGGATAATAAAATTTGAAATTATTCCAAAGAATCACTAAAGGTAGAGATTAGCTCTATTTGAAGGCTAAACTTTGCAGAAAAATGCCTAAGAAGTAGCTGGAAATGCATGGGAAATGCTGAATTTAGCAGAAAAAAAGTGAAAGGAGCATAAAAAGCTGAAATTAGCTGAAAGAAGCTGAAAAATCAAACAAAGAAAACTTAAATTTGTAGAAAGAAGCTGAAAGGAGCTGAGCTAGAAAAACAGCTGAAATGAAATAAAACCTTAAAAATTGTTGAAAAGGCCGAAAAAATATTATTTTGCAGAAAGAAGCTGAAAATAATATAAAATGCTGAAATTAGCAGTAGATAGTAGATGGGAAAAAAGCTTAAATGAGCTGAAGGAATGTAAACTTAGCAGAACGGAGTTGAAAGAAGCTGAGCCAGAACAAAAGCTGAAGTGAGCAGTAAAAGGTTGTAAACAGCTAAAGGCTTTGAAGGACGTGAAGACAGCTCCATTCATTTTCAATGAGAAAAACATGGCCGACAAAGCTCAATCTTTCTAATAGTAAAGTTTCAGCAAGAATGTCTTGAACGAGCTGAACATTTTGATACATCTACCGTACAGAAGAAACATGGAGCTCATCATGCTGTGGAAACATTCACACTGTATGCAACATCTGTGGTCAGTCTGGACTTGTGTTGCTGTGTGATGACTGGTCTCTCTGTGCAGCAGGTGACCGTTGAACCTCCACCCAGTCCCCACTTGCTGAGCGAGACGACTCGGGGGTGAGGTCCACCTCCACAGAGACACATAGTGCTCCACGTCTCCCCTCCCCACACAGACTCGTCCCTACAGCCGGAGCTATAAAAAGTCTGCTCCTGCTCAAGTTGTTCAGTCTCGTCACCAACTCCACCAGGTAAGACGCCTCTGAGGCAGAAGCTGGAACTTGTGCTTTGGTTGGGAAACTGGAAAAGAAAAAATATAATGGATATATTTAAAAATAATTCTAACGTGCCAGAGCAAATTTCCGTAAGATCAGAAGTTGTGAAGGAAAGTTTTAAAAAGGCAGTCTTCTTTAATTGTAACTTCAGAACCTTTTTTTAATTAAAACATAACTTCAGAGTAAAGTTGTTTATCGTGAGTAGATTTTAAACCTAAATCATCATCTTTGTTGTCACTAATGTCTCTGCGGTGATGTAGTCTCCCAGCTTGTACAGCTGACCTGCTAAATCTGCTCCTGAAACAAGATTATGAAACAGTTCAGATCCTATTTTCCTAATCTGCCGTACTAATCTACTCAGATTACAGGGTCTTGTAATAGACAGCCATGTGTTAAGTGCCAGGCCATTTAGGCCAATTCAGGGATAAGCATGTTGGACAGCATTTTTACTTTAAGTCTTTTAAATCTACTTAAGACAGAGGATTCTAAACAGAAATATTTAGCTAATTATGGTAATTATCTGTTGAATTCAAAATGTTTTACTTAAACCCCTTTAACAAATTACTGTATTTTTCCTCTAGACCACCACCATGAAATTCGTGGCTCTTGCTCTTGCCCTTCTCCTGGCTGTTGGTAAGTCCAAACCCTGTTCTCTAACGTAATGTTTCAGTGAATTTCTTGCACAGTTCTTATTTTGAATTATTTTCCTCAGGCTCTCAGGCCGCTTCCCTGCAGGCCGATGCCCCATCCCAGCTGGAACACCTACGGTCCGTTGCTGATGTCTACCTGACCCAGGCAAAGGAGACCGCCATCAAGGCTCTGGACCAGCTCGATGGCACGGAATATGAGGGCATGAAGTAAGCCTGCCTCCTTACAGCACTCAGTCCTATCAAGGGATTCAATAAAACATTTTGTTTGTTTGTGATGTGGTAGTTTAGCTAAAATTGTACGCCCTTCCACCTGTGCACTTTCCCAGGGGCGCTGTGTCTCAACGTCTGAATGATGTGCACGCTCAGCTCAAGCAACTGCAGAGCCAGGTGTCCCCCATGACAGACAACGTTGTCTCCACCATCTCCGATGCCACTGCTGACTTCCGTGCCTCCATCGTGAGTGACATCGAGTCCCTGAAAACCGAGCTCGAGCCCATGCGCGCCAAGCTGAGGGAGGTCATTGAGAAACACGTGGACGAGTACCGCACCCACATGGAGCCCATCATCAAAGAGTACCAAGCCAAGCACGACGCCGAGATGGAAGCTCTGAGAGCCAAGATGGAGCCCGTTGTGGCAGAGCTGCGCCAGAAAATCACAACCAACGTGGAGGAGACCAAGAGCGCCCTGGTTCCCATTGTTGAGGCTGTGCGCACCAAGCTCACCCAGCGCCTGGAGAGCTTGAGAGAGATGGCCGTCCCTTTCGTCGAGGAATACAAGGAGCACCTGAAGCAGACCTACAGCCAGGTACAGAACATCAAACCTGAGGAGCTCACTCAGCTGAAGGAGAAGATTCAGCCTCTTGCTGAGGAGATCAAGACAAAGCTCACAGCCATTGCTGGGATCATCACTGAAACCTTCAACAAAAACTAAATCCTCCCTGCTCTGCTTGACTAATCTCGCCTTCCTCGTCTGTCCTCCATTCCACCTTTCCCTCCACTCTCTCTTCCCTCTCGAACAAACCACCTCACAAATGAAGCTAGTGCTTAACTTATGAAACAAGATGGCAGGACTTTTCTCTTTTCGAAGCAAATGACTTGTTCCATGCGCACACTCTCAAGCACATGCATGCACACCCAGAGATACATACATACCCAGCACACATGCTTTACTCTTCACGTGCACACTGCTAACATTTTGTGTACCAATTGTATGTGAATTACCACAAGTGCTTGAATCTCTGTGTAATTATGATGTTGTGCTTTGATGAAAAACAGCTCAATAAACACCTGACTGTTTATACAATTGTGCACTCTGGAATCCTTTCCTTTATGGCTAAATGATCAATATAAATGTATTACATCTGAGCATTACATCCATATCTATTACATCTCATGTCATTAGAGCAGAATAGTGTTGATATTTTCTAATGTTTTAAATTCATAATGTAGTTTGCAAGCAAATATACGGTAAATAAAGCTTATTGGATAGTCTCAGCTTGTTATATTGGACAAGACGGATCAGTTAACAGCCGGTCCCAATGATTGTCCAAAGGTTGGCTGAATTAAAAAAATAATAATAATGGGACCAAGATGAAACAGGATGACTACCATCTTGAAACTATTTACATTTTTTAAAATCCATTGCTGTGCAAATGCTCTTTTATAAACCTTTACTTCTCTGTCAGTCTTGCATTTTGTGTTTATTCACACGGATGTCTATGATGATAACTAGCAAGTGACGGGAATAGCTAACTTTCCTGAAGGGATCTCTGACTACCTGCACATATTAGCCTCAATATGTTGTTATTTCTCTATTCTAGTAAAAGTAATTTGTGACACGTGAAAACGTACCTACCGGTAATTACTTAAAAAAAAAAGATACATGCTTCTTATATTTTTCACCTGAGGACATCGCCATTATATTACAGACGCAATGTATTTTGGAGCAATGACGTACATCAATTATAGTAAAAAAAAAGGGAGTCAAGGCTAAAAATGTATTAGCCTACATGTGACAATGAAGTTATAATTTGTATTATTCCTTATGGACAATATATGGGTCAAAACGATCAAACTTGATCAACTAGTAATACAGCGTACAACTTGTGGCACAACTTAGCTCTGGAGCTAATGCTATTTATTTTGGGTCTGGAGTTAATGTCACATATATTAGCTCTGTCCAAAATTAACATTCATGTTGAATGGAGCTCGCACTAGAACAACCTGTCTATGCTTTTACCCAGAATGCATTGCAGCATAAATAAAATGGGGACATCTGTTGGTCAATTTTTTTTTCTAAAAATAATGGGAGTGGTGGCGCAGAGGTTAGAGAAGGTGGACATGTGATCGGAAGATCGCCGGTTCAACTCGTGGTACCGACAACATCAAAATGTGTGTGGGAAAGGTGAAGCACCCACACCTGTCTCCACCCTCATTTACCCCACTTTGGGCCCTTGAGCAAGACCCTTAACCCCCACCGCTCCTCTGGGCGCACTAGATAGCAGCTCTCTTCTCCACACAGACAGCTGTGGTAACTCAGTGGTCTGTGGTTGGGTCAGGAAGGACATCCGGTGTAAAAATAATCGCCAAGACTTCGTGCGACTTAGTTCACTGTGGTGACCCCTGAAGAAGGGAGCAGCTGAAAGAAGGGGGGGGGGGTTAGGGTTGTTGCAGGCACAGACATATAATGTATATATACAGGATGTCTGTGGTTGCAGGCATCCTACAGGAGAGCCACCAAGGAGGGTCTATGTGTGTAGATATTTTTCTATGAAAATAAATTGAAAAAACCGAGAAGACAAGTTTCAATAAGTTGACTAGTGACCATGATTTTCACAATAAATAATATCAACAGTAGCTAAAAAAAATAAAAAAAATAAATATATGCACATCAGAAGGTGATTCCCTAATTACTGTATAGCTGTAATTGTGGAATAACCTTAATGATAACAACGTAAATCTCTTGAAATTTTGGTCTGGCTTTGGATTTTGCATGCCACACCAGGATTTTAAGTGCCCCCCCGTCCCCCGGATATTTGAAAAAAAATTTGAGACACCACTAGCATCTTGTCCATGATTAGGTTGTGGAAACTCCAAGGTCTCAGTTTGATGGTAACAAAATAATGTGCATGACTAGAGTGTAATAAATTTGCATGCATAAAAAATTCAATTCAATTCTGTTTATTTATATAAAACCAGTCACAACAGAAGTCATCTCAGGGCAATGAAAAGAAACATTCACATAAAAAGTAAGTTAAAAACATTACTTATATGAGGAGCAGAATGGAAAAAAATCACAAAAATAGACTCTTATTTTGAAATAAATAGGGAACTCCATATGACTCGCAGCTCGTTGGGTGTTTGGTTGCAAAACACTCAGAATTCAAAAATGTGCTTGTTTTCTTACAATTTGAGTGGATAACTAGTTTAACAGCCCAGCTGCAAAGAACTATTACAGGTAACACATTACCTATTTATAACGTTTCCACAGAAACCCGCTTCAAAAAGTCGGAACAATCTTTTAAAAGTAACACAAGACCAGCAAATGATTTAATAGAGGCTAATCAAAAATGCATATCAAAAAAGAACTTCATTAAAACAATCAGGGTTATTGAGATCAGCATTCGACCGCATGTGAGATGTTTCAGTCTGTTTTAATGAAAGCTGTGATTAATGAGCTGATCAGTTATTGAACTGGATTATTGACAAACGTGCTGCATTAGGGAAAAGTCTTTCCTACTTTAGATCCCTCAGGCTGGAAACCTTCAACACTGCCCCATCACAGAACCACATGGTGCGTCCAACACACACACACACACACACACACACACACACACACACACACACACACAC